TGTGATGGAGCCTAAGGCAGATTTTTTTTTTCTTGTGGGGGTGGGATGGGGTGGGGTGGGGGACCAGGGATTAAACTCAGGGGCACTTGACCAGTGAGCCCCATCTCTAGCCCTATTTTGTATTTTATTTAGAGACAGGGTCTCACTGAGTTGCTGAGCAGTCTTGAAGTTGCTAAGGCTGGCTTTAAATTTGCGATCCTCCTGCCTCAGCCTCCCAAACTGCTGGGATTACAGGTGTGTACCACCATGCCTGGCTAAGGCAGTTATTTTTAATATTTAAATCTTACTGATGGCTATTTTTAGTTTATCAAATACCTAAAACTCTTTCTCTAACTATTGAATAAACAACATAAGCTCTGATTATAAGATTGTGGAGAAAAGTTTGCACAGTTCTTGGCTCTGTCTAATGTCTATAATTTTTTAGCTTTTATACAGAACTGTTGTGCATTAAAAAGTACAATGTAATTTTAACTTTGTGTGTGTGTGTGTGTGTGTGTGTGTTTACTGGGGTTTAACCTAGGGCACTCTACCCCTGAACTGTATACCCCTAACCCTTTTTAATTTTTATTTTGAGACAGGCTTTCTCTAAGTTTCTAGGCTGGCCTCGAACTTAACATCCTCCTACCTCAATCTTGCTACTTGCTGGAATTACAGTCATGCCTCCATGCCTGGCTAGTTTTAATTTCTTGAAAAAAATATTTTTATTGAACCTTATAATTTTTATAGTCGTTATTATGTTAGCTTAATTTTGATAAATCAGCTTTTCTACTAAGTACTTCAGTTTGGTTCATGGATCTTTTATCTAAAATACCCTTTAAAGCTTCAGGAATAAAAGAGTTCAAATATAACCCAATCCATGCAACTGTTCCCATTTGGAGACAATTTTATTTTGACAAAGAAAAATATCTAATTTTTAGATTCTGTTTTTTAGATTAAATACATGCTGATTTGGTGGGAGTAAAGTCTGAGTGAATTAAGTTTTTTCATTGACAATAAGAAAGGTTTTGAGCTTATTAATGCATTTTAAAATATTATAAAAAGAGTTCATTTAGATTTATACAGGAAAACTCAATAGTTCAAAGTAGGATATGTACTGCTCTGAGGAACTGTAAGTGTGGAAAGAGATTAATTTTGGACACTTCTTTGTATTTCACTGCAGAACTTATAATTTCTGGGCATAGATATCACTTCCACATAATTTATCCTTCTGTAGATTTTTTTAATGGATCATTGACACCTTCTGGGCAAATCTACCACCTTTTTTTGAATTTTCTATACCTGTGCTGAAAAAGAATGACTCCCACTTTCTTATAGATGTGTACAGAATTGCTTCACTCTTATGCAGTTCAAGGTGATGTTTACTTGTAGTGATAAAACAATGGATTGTTATTTTCCTACTTAGCCATTAATACCATTAGTACTATAATGGGAACTGTTTGTGCATTGTATTTAGCATTATTATAAAACTGCTGTTGACAATGAAATCTAATAAAAAAACAACTGACTACTTATAGTTTTATAAAGAAGTTTCTAATTGATAGTATTACTGTCACTTATGCCAGATACTAGCTCTGTCTACCTTTTGTTGTAGATATTTTGATCTAATTCTGGTACTTGAACTATGTAGTATTCAGGTGGGGTAAAAATTTTCAAATCAGAGAATTGGTTATAATAAACAAAGGCCCGAGGTATCTAAGAGCTGATAGTAAGAAATCAGTTACATCAGTGATAGCAAGTGCCGCCAGAGATACTTGGACAAATCAGTGCAGACAGATGAATTTTCCTAAGGTCTTTAAGCGTTTAAGCCAGCACTGGCCTTTGCAATGTCTCTGCGATGCCAGTTATACCTGGGAATTTCAGGTAAATGATGACAACTTCTGAGTTAGTCGTGCTACTCCAAATAATCCACTGAATGTGGCTAAAAATGCCAATTTTAAAATATATTCATGGGATTAGGAATGAACATGTCTTGCCTGAAATCTTATGGTTTAGCTTTAGTACTTACTATAGTCAGTCTATGACTTTGAAATATTGAGCTGTCTGACAGCTTAAAATCCTAAATTTCCTTTAAACTTGAGCCTGGCTTTGGAGGAGAAAAGTGTAGCATTGGTGGATTTTATATAAGACCCTTCTAAGGGAATTGACTTGTGTGCCTTTGCTCGCAGGGCACTGAGAATGCTAGCAAGCTGCTTTCTCAAGTCTTTGGTGTTTCCCGTAACCTAGATAAGCATTTAGTCAGATTCCTTACATCAGGGCCACTGAAGTCTTATTAAGATCAACCTTATTAAGATCAACGTTTTGTTTTCTTGAAGAGGCATGGAAAGGCCCCAAGTCCAGGCGTTGATAAGCCAGTTACATATTAGGAAAAGCCTGGATGCCCTTATATCGTTAATTCCTAGTTGGATGTATATTTCTCGAGAATCTTAAGTTGGGTGGCTAAGTTTTATGAACATCGCCTAACAAGCTGCTCAGGAGAGTGAGGCAGGAAGTTTGCAATTAGTTTGCTCACTAGGCAATTTAGTGAGCTCTCTTTTCAAAACAAAATTTAAAAGAGAACTGGGGATACAGCTCATAGGTAAGATACGTCTAAGGGAATTGACTTCTAAGGGAGTAGCACTTGTGTGTCATGTGCTATACCCTGTATTCAAACCTTAGTACTGTGGGGAAGAAAGATTAAATAAATCCATAAGTAAGTACAATGAAAATTAGAACAGTAGGTAGTAGAAACATAGGTTAATTTAGCTCTAGATTTTGCCTACTTTTAAGCACAGCACATGCTCTCTGCTTCTTCATCCATACACTGCAGATAGTTCTATCCACAATATTTAAAACTCACTGTAAAACAAGAGCTCTTGGTATTACTTATGAATTAGGGGGCCCCACACCACATACAGAGTTTCTTATCAGTGTAATTATTATATCAGTGAAGTTTTGGGGATTTGAAAGTATATTATAATTATTAGAGGCATTTATTGAAGGATGATGTGGTAACTGAACATTGAAGTTATATTTTTTAAAATGAATATAGAAAGAGCTCTTCAAAGATCATAATAGAGAAGATCTGAAATTTTAAAAACAACTTGATCACAGAAGCATAGAGTGGATATGGGTGAACATTCCAGACAGAAGTGGTCTGATATGGAAAAGCACGGGGCAGGAAGGGACATGGAATTTCAGATTGAGTGAAGGTGATGTTCATTTTAGAAAAGTACTCTCTATATTATATGTTTTATAAAGGTGAAAATTTGAAAAGACAATACCTGTCCTTTAATCACATAGTAATAAGAAAGGGCTCATATGTCTTGCACTTAAATTAACTTAGAATTAGAAAGTTTAACATTAGCTTGGAAGAAAATTAAGCATTTTAGGCTCAGGGGAAAAGAAAGTAAAATCAGCATGGCTTTATGTGCTCCATTATAGAAGACTTCCTGGAAGAAGAGATTTTTTTGAAGAAAGTAATAAAATGAATTTATAAAGAGGTTGGTTAAAAGTGAAAAAAATAATGCTGTATTGTGGGATGTGGGGAAGCTCTCTGTGGATAGTGCCACCATAAGGGGTTTGAGCATTATATAAGAGGCTTGTTAAAGGTACAACATTGTTAGTTCAGACTCATTCTCCATTCATCTTGGTTCCATTTTCACACTTGGCTCCAGAGCTACTTGGAAACCTATAGGCAAACGTTTGCTACCTGTTGACTGTTTTGCTGTTTAAATTTCCATTATATCTAGAAAAACTGAGCTTGTATTTGGAGACTGTCTATGTTCTCATCCATGTACCCCTGTGTCTTCCTGTTTTCTCCTAAAGGGGACCTCTTTTCAGATGAGACTCCTGACCCTTTCCTGAATGATGCTTCTTTTGCTTTTGTACCACCAAAAAGTTGTCTTTCCCTTTCCTGTCACCCAAATGAGTCCAAATCCTTCTTTAAAATCTAGGGTTTCCAAAAATATCCACTTCTCTTTTGTCACCAGCTACTTTTTTGATTTGCATTTAGTAACTATTTCATTGTGTATTTACATTTATCTTCGTCTTGCTAGAATGCAGACATGGTAAAGGGCTGTATCTAGTAAATTTATGCTTCCCGTGTCTTTGCATCACTGAACCATGTGGTTGGTGATGGCATCATAGACCATTGTTCCATGTATGTGTGACTTATGGACTTAGATGGGCCAGTGATTTTCAATTCTCTGTGTTCATTCCTTTTTAAAGGAAAATCAGAGCCTGGTAGTAAAAGTCAAGAGCTGGCTAATGTGTGGAAAGTTCTAGAATATGAATATGAAGTTCACTTGATAAGGTCAGAAATTTCTCCTTTCTTTTTTTCTTATTTTGTCTAGCACTGTATCCACAGCACTTGGTCCCAGCCCCGTGGTGGCACTGAGTGTGTATTTGTTGAATGAATACTGATTTCACTACTGAAATTGTAGGCATTAATTGGTACTTTTAAGTAACCCTGCAAAAGACCTCCAGAGTGTGTTTCAAACAATGTCAGCAATGTCTTCTCAGTGCTTACAGGGCAGCCTCACAGCCTCACATCATTTTTCCTAGCAAGAGAAACCTTGTTTGTTGTCCTGTTTTATTGTTTCTTTGGGAAGAAAACAGAGGTAATAGAGTGGGAAATCGTAGTTGCTGTGATCTAGCTTTCGTTTCTTCCATGTTTTGGTCTTTTTATTATTGAAAGGAGAATCACATTGAAATAGAAGAAAAATTTCTGAGAGGTTACTTCCCAATTCATGGCCCAGGTTAGGCCTTTGGGATGTTTGTTCAAGGCTTGTTCATTCCTTCTCTATAGTGCCATTTCGTGGGAATTTTTTCTGCCTGTCCTACTTTCTGCTGCCCTGCTTCCCATGGTATCTTGCTGTGCAGTGTTCAGAAACTGAAGAGAATGTTACGATCAACACCTTAAATTGTTCCCTCTTGACAGGGCTTGAAGATCAGGGGCTAAGAAATATTGATGTGAGGATACCACTGACTTTTTCCTTTTCACTCTTTTCTTTTTCCTTTAGCTCAAGCCAGGGCAGAACAGCTGCAGGGACAGTGACAGTGAGAGTGCCAGTGGAGAATCCAAGGGCTTCCAACGGAGCAGCTCCCGGGAAAGGCTCAGTGATGTAAGTTGAATAAAAAAATGAACAAAACCACGACAGTGTGCAGTCTTGCTTCCAGCCTCACTTAGTAACCACCCCTCCCCTGTAGATCAGGCTGTGTGCTCAAGTTTTTGCAGCCTACACTTTCTTGGTATGTACCTTTTTAAAACTTGTAGATGTTATTCTATAATGTAGTTTGATCTAAAATGTGTTTTAACAAATTATAAAGTAGTTGGGAATATTTATTACCTTAGAAACAACAGATTACAAAGAGAAGTGGTAACAGTTTTATTATTCATAAATAATAACTTTATTAGTAACAAATGAAGCGGTCAAGGCAGTATCATAACTAGGAGATGACATCATTTAGCTATTGGCCTTTTGTCATTTCTTCTCCTAGGAAATCAGTAACAATCCCTTATTGTCATTTCTTTCCTATTAGAAGAAGTAGCTACTTATTTGGTAAGAGAAGGAATTACATTTAATGATGGATTTCTATGGGACCTTATGAGAGTAAACTGTACTGCTGGAGGGGCCCATCACCTGCTAGATTTGGCACTAACCCTTCTCCAGCATCCCATCCACTGCAGGGCTGGTTCCCCTCTGTTCTCCTGAGAACCATCTGTTCCTCTTTGGACTACCTTGCCTTCTGCCCTTATGCACCATATATCACCATTCTTTGCCCATTTTTGTTTCTGAGAGCAAGACATGGAAACTATTGTAAAAGGATCAAGTGGAGAGAAATTTTTATTGTTGATACCAACAAAGGCAATATTAGCAGGTTAAGGAAATACGATGAAAGATAAAGAGACCAGTTCAGAATGCCTGAATGTGGACAAAGAGCAACAGGTATTATGTGTAGTGAGGAGAAAAATCCTTCATCTCTAGTCTTATTTTTTCCTATCTGCTTGAAAGCAGTGGTTTAATTACAGTGTGCAAACTATCCATCACATTAAAGGAAAAAATGTTAATGCTTATTTTTTATGAGAGAAAAGTTAAACTTTACTAATATTCACTGTAATGAGCAGGAATAGTTGATATGTAATTTTTAAACATGTGTATCTTAGAAATGTATGCTCAAAACCTTTTTACTGAGAGGAGATTGGCTAGTGTAAAAGCTTGTGCAGACTACTCAGCCATTCCCTATGATAATACTACATTCATCTCGTTCTCAGTTAAAGCAGACAACTCCAAGACACAGCCACTTTCCTATGTGTCTCGGGAAAATTTGTGATGTTTAGAGTGAAATTTGGTGTATAGAACATCAACTTCTTATAAGAATTAAGTGAATTAAGCAAAGCATTTCAAATAAGTTGGTTATAGTTGATTATTTCCACTTCTAATGTGGCATAATGTCATTTATATGAATACTAACTTACTGAGTACTAACTCAGTCTTTTGTTCTGAATATGAGTATATTATTTGTGTAAGAATATATTAGTGTGTGTTCTTATGTTTCATTAACTTTGTGATAGAAGTATATAATGATAATCTCCAAACCTAAGTTGTTAACGATAGTACTTCCCTTCTGAGATTTTGTTATGCTTTTAATGTGAGGTCTTATTGGCACAGAGAATTATTCCCAAGTTACTTGGTCAGATTTTCTTCTTACATTGGAAAAATGAAAGCCATGTCAATTGAGGAGATAAGAGCACAGTCACTGAGATCTTTTGACTGTTACTCTGACCTCACTTCTCATTAACTCAAAAAAATTTGCAAAAGACCATCCCTGTCAACGAATAGAGAAAATGAATATTACTAAGGTGTCAACACTACCTACCATCAGCTATTTACAGAGTCGGCATCGTACCCATCTCTTTTTTGTTTTGCAAAAATAGAAAAGCAGATCCTCTAAAGCATATGGAATGGTTTTAGCTCCTGAATTGCCAGAATAATCTTTTAAAGGGACAAAATTAGAGGACATGCCTATCCAGTTTCAAAAGCTACTACAAAGCTCAGTAATCACAACAGTGAGGCACTGCCACAGATGCGCGCGTGCGCGCGCGCACACACACACAAATGTGTACAAATATACATATACATAGTCTGTATGGAATAGACCTGAGAATTTTGGATATGAACCCATACTTGTAAGTTCAATTGATTTTGGAGAAGATTACTGTTTTAGTCAGTTTTTTCCTGCTGTGACCCAAAGACCTGAATAATTTTAGAGGAGGAAGTTTATTTTGCTCATCGTTTCAGAGGTCTCAGTCCATAGTTGGCCAATATCATTGTTCTGAGTTCAAGATGAGGCAATATCATGGTGGGAGAGTATGGCAGAGGGAAGAAGCTCAGGACATGACAATCAGGAATCAGAGAGAGGGACTAAGCTCAGCTCACCAGGGACAAAATATATATACCCCCAAAGCATGCCCCTGATGACCCACCTCTTCCAGCCTCACACTGTCTATCTACACTTATCACCCAGCAACTCCATTCAAGTGGATTAATAAAGTGATTGGGTTAAGTCTCTCATAACCCAATAATTTTACCTCTAAACTTTCTTGCATTGTCTCTCACATGAGCTTTTGGGAGACCCCTGATATCTAAACCATACCAAATACCAAGTCTGTTCAATGGGGGAAAAATTTCCTCTTCAAAAGCTGCTGTTGGGACAGTTGGGTTTCCACCTCGAAAAGGATGAATTTGGATCTCTACATCACACCATGAACAACAATAAACTCAAATGGATCTGTTTCCCAAACATAAGTGCATAAACAGTGAAACTCTTGGAAGAAAACCCAGAGATAAATCTTCATAACCTTGGATGTTACATCAAAGGCATGAACAATAGAAGAGAAGTGGTGACATAATGGGACATAATCAAAGTTTAAAACTTTGGTGCATCAGAGGGTATTACCAAGAAAGTTAAAAGACAATATATTCAGTGGGAAAAATATTTGCAAATCATATAATTGATAAGTGTTTAATGTCCAGAATATGTAAAGAAATCCTGCAACTGAACAATTAAAGGACAGCCTGATTAAAAAATAGGGAAGAACTTGGGCTGGGGTTGTGGCTCAGTGGCAGAGCACTTGCCTAGCATGTGTGAGGCACTGAATTCGATTCTCAGCACCACGTATCAATAAATAAAACAAAATGTCCATTGACAACTAAAAAAATATTTTTAAAATAGGTAATAACTTGAAAATATTAGTAAATGCATCAGAAGATTGTCTTAATTATTAATCATTAGAGAAATATCAAAATTGAAAGGAGATACCTCTCTACACCTACTAGAATGGGTATAACTTGTACACAGTTAAGGTCTTCAGGCAAGAAATATGGAAGCCCTCTCTTATTAGAAATGGGGGAGGGCAGAAAGTTAAAATGAAGTTTATCAGTGAAGAATTGTTCTGCAGTGTGTTTGATACTGTACCACTGCCTATCTGCCTTTCTAGGACTTCTCCTGTAACATGAGAAAGCAGTATCAATTTCTAAATATGTGTCAATAAATGAATAATTAACAATAAATCTTCAACTATAAAAATGTTGTTTGTAAACATTTATTTTGTTTTTGTAGCATAGTATGTTGGTGCCTGTGGTTTAGAGGTGCTTGTGTAATTTCTGATTTGTTAAATTATTGAAGTTTTCAAATATTTGTAGCTGTATTTTTAGATGGGGACTTAGATTGAGCATACTTGATCAAGATGCTTTACTGGAACTTTTTGATAGCAAAGCTCCTAGGTTATATGATCCTTGTTATGAATGTCAGTTATACCCTGGCCTCTCTGTTGCTGGTAACTTCTTATATCCATACTTTTATGGTAGGGCTCCTATTGGTGATCAGGAGTAGTGTCCCAGGAATACAAGGCCATAGCCAGAATCTTGGAATTGAAGGACTGAACAAAGAGACATATCTTTATTTCATAAATGTTACTTTTGTTCAAATTCTCCAGCTATAATTGAAGGGAGCTAGCAAGTAGTCAAGAAAGATGTGGGGAAAGAGTAAGACAGGAGGAAATGCCAGTGTCCCGAACATTTGATAAGGTAGCATGGAAGAGAGGTTTTGATAAAGTTGTCTGCCAGGATCAGAAATCAAAACAGAATGCTGCAAATCTCTTCCCTTAAAAAAAAATAAAAAGAAAGAAAGAAAGAAAATGGTGAGTATAGAGGGTTGGCAAATGTGGATAGCCTCTGGTTCTGAGGTTCTATATAGCTTCTAGCAAATGCTGGAGCAAATTCTAGTAGACCTTTAACATACGTGAGGATCTAGTGTCTGTTTTCCTTCATGTGTCTGTCTGTGCTCGTTGGTGGGAGGGGGTTATAAGGCAGGGTGCTTAAATGCTTTGTTGCATTATGTTAATTCCTCAGCAGTGCAATCAAATTCATGTCGTAATTAAAGCTGTCAGTTGGAAGGCAAGCCAATCGCCACGAAAGCACAGCATAACAAATGAAGTGAAATGATTCTGCGTGTAGCTATACAATGCTTCACCAGGCATGAAATTAAATAAGTAATTTGATGTTGACATCAGAAATTGAAATGATACCCACTGTTCCCTCATTCAGTTAGACCTGCATAAACAACAGCCAGAACAAATATGCACAACAAAGCCCTCTTCTCCACCTAGCTCCCTGAGTAATGTACAATATATATGCAAAATGAGCATAACAGAGCTTTCCTAGACCTGAAGGATGTAATTTTCTTTGGTATACAATAAGATGAAGTGTACGTGGGGGTGGGGAGGTGGTTGTGGAAGGGTACTTTTCCTTCTGGAATAAAATACATTTGCAGGAAGCAGGGTGAATGAAATAAACAAATCCCATGTTCTCTCTGAGTAATTCATCCTAAAATGAGTTTACTTCCCAGGGGCATGACTCCAGGCTGGTGGAGACCTAACTTGGCTTTTGCCTTCACCTGTTACATGGAGGCCTGAGAGTGCTGAAAACATGTGACACTGTCACATGGTTAATCACTGTGTGAGAGGCTGTCTCCATGACTACCGTGAATCTTTTTTTTTCATACTGCTATGAGATCAGGATTGGAGCAGGATTTCTAAGACTTGAGTCCAATATGCATGACCATGTCTGTGCTGCTTTATTGCTCTGAGCTTGTCTGAAACACTCAGGTGAAGAAAGTTCTCTGGACCCCGATTTAGTAATGCCCTGAATAGTGCTATCTTTGCTTCATGTGGACACTGTTACAACTCCATCTTTCCTTCTCAAATAGCTTAGAATTAAAAGAGAAAAAATCACATCTAATGTATTTGGGGATGTTTAGTTCTCCTGAGCCTTTTTTCTGTATACAGTCTGTCCATTCATTTATTCATATGTTGACTCAACAAATGCTCACTTGATGCATCTTGTGTACAAGACATTGTGATGTGCTGTGAAACAAAGAAGGATAAACCTGCTGGTCCTTCCTACCTGTGGTTCATAGACCAAGAGGCAAGACTTGTTGGTAGAAGAGATAAAAGTGAAGGGAAAGACTATTGCATCAGGGTTGAGGTCAGGATGCTCCAGAAAGGTGGAACACCTGACCTCGTACATGAGACACAAGGCCTGGCTGGGGCATAACTTTGTAAGGAGAAGTTTTAGGAAAAGCACATAAAAAGAAAAGATACTCAGCTGGGTGCAGTGGCACATGCTGGTAATCAGAGCAACTCTGGAGGCTGAGGCAAGAAGATCGCAAGTTTGAGGGGCAACCTCAGGAAATTAGTGAGACCCTTTCTCAAAATAAAAAATAGAAAGTACTGGGTTAAGGCTTATCCGGATTCAATCTCTGGTACAAAAAGCAGTACCAAACAAAAATATCCCCCCCCAAACCCAAATCAAAAAACAACAAAGAACAGAACCTCAGAAAGGTTTGAAACACAGTGTTCCTTTTTGTTGTTGTTGTTTCTTTCTCCAAATAAATACTACCCTGCATTCATTTCAGAATTGATTTTTGGGTTCCCTGTATGTTAGAACTATGGCAGTCCAAATTGATAATTCTTTTGACTAAAACCTTCAGAAAAACTGTGCTTTTCACCACCTCCTTTTACCCACACATTCTTTGCATTTTAGTCACTAATTATGTTTACAAAATGTCTCATTTTTGAAAAGAACTCTGTGTGTACTAACTGGTGCCTTTGGGGATTAAACTGGCAAGTAGGTCACACACTGGAAAAGTCATCCAAGCCCTTTGGGCTTCTTATTTTCAAGTCAGTCTGGGCTTTTTCCTCTTGCCTGCCCCTTTGTGGCCACAAAACCGAGTAGCTTGAGACCAGGGCGTTGAATGTCAGCAAGTCAGGGAGGCAGGCTGATGCGTGTCTGTTTAGTCTCAGTGCAGGGCGAAATGCCATCATTAATTCATTACCCAGCTGCCTGTCAAATAAATTGGCAATTACATCCACCGCAGAAGCTTGGAATTCAGTAAATAGCACGTTAGCATCTCTGAGTTGTTGAGAGATGTAAAGGGGGAAATTAAGCAACACAGTGTTTGTATCAGTAGCAGATGACAAGGGGCAGCACGCGCTGGTGATGTGATGTGGTGATGAAAAGTCTGCAGAGGGCTGGTAATGAGCTGTGTGGATTGAAACATGTTAAAAACCATTGCTGATTTTCCACTTTGTCTTTATGCTTTATTGCAGAGTTCAGCTCCTTCCAGCTTGGGAACAGGCTACTTCGTAAGTCTATCTCAACTCCCACACGTGGGCCTTGCTTTGGCATTGATTCACTTCTAGAATGAATGCTTACTAGGATGTGTAGAAATCTAAGAAATCCCCTCTCAATCCTAAAGAGCAGACTGATTTCTGTCTTTTTATTGGGAATTGTTTATTTTTAAAAGTCGTTACCTGTTGGACCCAGGGGATCATCAGTTTTAGATGTCTTGCTGGTTCCTAAGCACCTAGTATGTTTTCCCCACATCTTGCAGTGCCAGGGGACATAGGGAAACCCAATTGCTTAGGCCACTTTTGCTACATAATTGTTTGTTTATTGAAGGGTGTCCTGACTAGGACAGGATTTGAATGGAGCATTGAGGTAGGTATTCATTCATTTTCAAGACTTCTTGAAGAACTTTCCTGTATATACAATGAATTATCTTTTAAAAAAAAAAAAAAACTTTTGATGAGAGGTGGAATTTTAATGGATGTTTTTCACTGACAGTCTGGGGAGGTGGCCTTTATGTTTTCTTTTAACAGTCATTAAACTCATTTTAGCAAATGGAATTGTATTATTTTATTTCTGGACCTTGTTCTCTGTCTTTTGGGGGAAGATTAAGGGTAGAGTGACATGGAGTTATTCCAATATTTTTTATGCACGACAAAAAAAAGTTATTCCTTCCTTATGTTTGTTTATAGCAAAATTATCCTTTTTGGTTTCAGTAATCCTTTCCAAGATAAAGTGGTAAAGAATGACAAATAGGCATTATTTACACAACAGGAGAATGGATCCGTGTATAAGTTTATTGTGGTACTTACAGGAGTCTGATGTGTGTGCTAATCATGAACATTGAGACTGCAATGCCTGTTTACTATTTTTTGAGAAAATAATGAAAGCATAAAAAAATGAAGTAAAAAAATAATTGCCAATTCAGTTTAGTTGCTCTTAACTTTTTTCCCCCCCTAACAAAATTACTTTGGTTTTTCTTCTGTTCACACATTTCACTCAATACATTTGCATTAAAAGTATGAAAACCAGCATCATTTCATTGAATAATGAGTCTTTTCCAAGCTTGGCAGAAATGGTATTTTCTAGATGTTGATTTTATTTTTCTTGTCTTAATCTATAATAGGAGAAAAAGGATAACGATGATTTGGGACCTGCTTAATATAGTTGGCACACTTACCCTTGCTCCTACTTATTGTGACTGAATATTCATGCTTATAAAAACAAGCAGAATACATTCAGTTTCTTGCTTCAGTAGTTGAAAGAACAGACGTGGTCCCATCTGCCATCTCTTCACACCAGGCTGGATATGGGTTGAGATGCTGGAAGTAAAATCTGAAGGTTGACGATGTCTGTTCTCCATCCAAAAAGCAAATTCTCCCCTTTGCTTTCCTCGGCAGAAACAAAGCCAAAACTACTACCTCAACCCTGATCACTTCTAGACTGAACATTGTAGTTGTTGTTTCTGGTAATGGGTATTGCACATGCTACTGCTGATTAATATCCCTGGCCTTTTTTTTTTTTTTTTTGAGAGAGAGAGAGAGAGAGAATTTTTTTAATATTTATTTTTTAGTTTACAGTGGACAAAACATCTTTATTTTTATGTGGTGCTGAGGATCGAAACCAGTGCCCCGCGCATGCCAGGCAAGCACGCTACTGTTTGAGCCACATCCCCAGCCCTATCCCTGGATTTTTTAAAAAAAAATTATTTTGAGACAGGGTCTCACCAAATTGCCCAGACTGGCCTTAAACTTGCAGTCCTCCTGCCTCAGCCTCCAAAGTAGCTGGGATCACAGCTGTGCCCCAGTCCAGCTTATTTTGTCAATGTGATTACCTTGAGAAGAGTCATCTGTAAAAATTTTCGTTTTGCTTTTTGTTACTTTTAGTACATTGCTATGAGCATAGAGTCTTTAATTAGGAGTATAAAGTGGTTTTTACACTCAGACAACATTGAATAACTGTAATAGCTTTTCCTTGTTTTGGTAAAATTTCTCATAGACTGACTTTGTTTATATCAAAATCTGTCATATTATTAGCTTACATGGAGAAGATATATACCAGATGTATGTTTAGTTCTCAAGTATGACAAAAATGTCCTACTTAAAATGTGTTTCCAATAATGTGATTGTTGTATTATCAAAGTGCAAAATCCATTGATAACTGTTGCCAACTCTTCATCAAAAGTGCTCTCATTTTCAACTTTCATTCCCACAGTATTACATATACTTAATTTCCAGTATTCAACATTGTGAAGTTTCACACTTTTATGTGAATATTGTATGTACACAACTTGTAGTATTTTGCAAACACGTTCTTTGCACTATTTTTTTAATAGCACAATAACCATTTACTTCTGTTTGTGAAGAAGACTTAGCATCAGGTAAGTGGGACATGAATTTTTGACTATATCGTTAATCTTCTTCAGCATCTGTTTGAAATGCAGATGGAGGCAAATCACCCACAGAGTCAGTGAGCTATTAATATAATTGAACCATAAAGTGAACTGTTTAAGAAAACTGAAGGCACTTACCTGTTGAGCTTAGCAGCCTTAATACTGTCCATGTCCCGGCATCGCTCTTTATTTCAGAGTCGAAATTCCTTTAGATCTCATGCTCCTGTACAGTTTTAAGTGAACTTGGGTAAAATGTTGTCCATTATGTGTTAATATATGTACATGTGTGTGTGTGTGTGTGTGTGTGTGTGTACACGTACACTCATACTCTCATCCACCTACTTTTTAGCCAAAGCCAATGTACTCTACTTTTTCTCACTTCTTTTGATGTATCAGTAGTGATGAGTTAGAGTGTTTTAAGAAGACACTTTTGTTTTTGATCTGGTTGTATTTGTTTATATCTCCTTGGTTTTGTGTTCCAGGATGTCTGCTTAGGTCTGTCACTTTTCCAATTCATTAAAAAGCAGAAAATTTGAGAAATGAGAACAGCAGCTAAACTCAGTATTTACATAAGCATATTGCAAAGAATTCTTAAAGTAGACAAAATAGAGAAGGATTGGAACAAACTTTCCACATTTTTGGGAGATTTTGAATAATGTGGGTGTTATATACACAGAGAGACATACGTACATATATATTCATTACATACACTTGCCTAGCTCAGCTCACATTCTAAATATAAATGAAATTATAGACTTGTTGGAATCAGTTCATTTTTTTTTTCCTTTTACTTTTTTGGCAAGCATACTAAAACTTGTTGGGAGTATTATAGGATTTTCTTTTCTTAAACATCGATGCAGTGAACACATTTTCTTTACAATTTAAATATTTTAGGTTATATTCCCCTTTTAGATGTGCATTTCAAGTGTCATTACAAATGTAGAATGAAGAACTTAGAGGTAGAGTGTGATCTTTATGACCTGTTGTATGACCTTGCCTTGGCAGATTATTTGATACCTCTGTGTCAGTTTCCTCATCAGTATCAACTAATGGAGTTGTGAACGTTGAACAAGATATTTAATGCATACAGAACAGTCACAAAATATAACTGTTGCCTTCTGTTTTTAACACTGTACTATGTCATGGAATAAACTTAGTCTTATTAAGTGGTAGTACAGTTCTCTGGTGGCAGAGGTTACCACCAAAAATTAATAATGAAAATTAGATTAGATTTATACCTATGGGATAAAATGTAGCATTCTCATTAAGTCATCCTAGTAGGTTTCTCAAGTGTTTAGAATTTTGTGTTTGACCTGATCTATATGCATAAAGATATGGATAAACACACACACACCCACAGAGATATACACATATACACACATCACTCTGTATGTGAAAATAAAGTAAATATGGCCTTTGTCTTCTAATCATGTGATCATGATGATGTTGGAATGACCTCTTCTGTAGGCTGCCCTTTTGTTTACCTGTTAAGCATCACTTGTTATTTTCTCATTCAGAGCTCTTGATATTTGTGAAGACTGCTTTGGCAGCTCTTAGGATGAGCTTGGGCAGTCAAGAAAGTTTTGTTTAATGTGTTCACATATGTTTACTGCTCTTGGACACCAAAAAGAAAAGTGGATGCTGCAGCACATCTGAATGCTGAAAGTGAAGGCCAGTGAATGACTTCACAGTGGCCACGGGTGTGGTATCATTACAGGAAGGATCTGGATTCATCTTTACAAGCACCGGACTCCACATGGCAGCAGTTGGCAGCTACTTTGGGGCGACTAACTTGCCAGGCTCCACTTGACCTCCGACATAAAGAAGCAAAGCCTCACTTTTCTCAGGAGCCCGTCCTGCCTGCTGCTCTACATAATCATCAGCCATTTCACAGGTCTGGATCTGAATGTCTCGGAACAGCAGCCACAGATAGCTTGGCTTTGCTTTTCTAAATTCCACTGATTTAGGAACTCTCAGCTAATAGTTTTCATCCTTTTCAGTTGGATCAGTTCTACATACTTCAAAGTTGTCAAAGAGACCAGCCCGTTGTTATCTGGTGATTAAAACTTTCACATTATGTAATGAAGGAGAAGAGTTTAGTGATACACATGCTAAACTAGTGTATGCACAGTTATGGTTTTCCTTAAGTTGAGTTGTTTATTTAAGTTTTGCTGATAGTTTTGATGATGGTCAGAAGGGGCCACATGTTGACCTATAGCTTTTTTGTCCAGGTTGTGAGATTGTAAAGGGATGGTTTTTGCCCTTTTACTCTGAAGTTCAATAAACTGTTACCTTGCCCCTCAAGTCAAGGGTACATATTTGAATTGGATACTGTATACACTGATCAGTTCTGAGAGAAATGCATGTGGAATAATGCCGATGGAATAATGCCCATATTAATGTCAAATAATTGTAGGAGGCTTCGATATCCAGCAGACCAAAAAAAAAAAAAGGACAGAAGAAACTTTGAGGCAGAGGGAGCAAGGAAGACAAGCGTGAAGAATGGCAGGAAGGTGTGGAAAGTGGACTGGCTCTGCCCCGTTTCTGGGACAAGGCTGGACTTGGGTTGCTTAGGAATGGGGATTGAAGGTTGGGATGTAGGGCAAAGCCAGAGCAGTTGGTTGA